CCCAGGCTGGCCTCGAACTCACAGAGATCCGCCTGGCTCTGCCTCCCGAGTGCTGGGATTAAAGGCGTGCGCCACCACCGCCCCGCTCTCAGCACCTTGTTTATGTATATTTAGAAATGATTTGGACTGATAATTGCCAGCTCATGAAACTTGTTAATTTATCTGCATCCAACTTATAGATGCCCCTGAGAAAGCAGACAACAGATAATCTCTGTATTCACAACTATGTAGACTCCAAGCTATAGTTCCAGTCAGGTCTGGTGCACATCTTGTAACACTGGCCACCCAGCAGCCATCATAGACCCTAGACAGAGACTGTTCTTTATTTCAGAGTGTTTTCAGGCCTCTTAAAACACCAGGAAGTATATCCAGCAACAGCATCTGATCTCAAAATACAGGAAGGTACCCAGCTGAAGTATAGAAGCTGACACCAAAGTCAGTCAATCCAGGGTTGCAACAAGTTGACCTGACTACTATCACCAGTTATAATAAATAGTAAAGGTCTATTTAGCAACACTGAACTCCTCTATATGACAGAGGAGTTCATTATTATTAGTGCACAGGCACCCAAGTGTAAGATCATAAGCATTAAAATCAGAGATGTAAAACTTTACAGAGAACAATGGTGAGACTCAAGAAGAAAACACAAAAAAGGGAGACCTATAAACCCCATGATGAATAATTCCCAGAGTGTTTTTAATTAAGTTACAGAAGTATAAGAAACCACCAACAAAACATAGGCAAACAACTGCTGCTCATGGACAGGCCAGGACAGTCAGAAGAACAGGCAAAGGCCCCACCAGCATGAAGAGCAGATAGGCTGCCCTCCAACACATGTAACTCTATAACTCCAGTAGGTTCAGTTTCCCAAGATTCAATATGCCACCACCGTTCTTGACCTACCATCCAGCAAAACTTTCAATCACCATATATGGGAAAAGCAACATATTCCAAGATAAAGTCAAATTTGAACAATAGCTGTCTCGAGATCCAGCCCCACAGATATACTAGAAAGACATCTTCATCCCAATAATATTAACTACACCCATGTAAAAACAGGAAATAAATAATTTCACACTAGTAAAGGCAAATAATGGAAGAACATGTATGTTCATGTACTTGCCAACATACACACACACACATCACACACACACACCACACACATCACACACACAGAGAGAGAGAGAGAGAGAGAGAGAGAGAGAGAGAAAGAGATAGAGAGAAAAAGAGAAAGGGAGAAAGAGAGAGACTACCACTACCCCCACCAAAACAACAGGAATTAACAATCATTGGTCATCAATATTTTTTAATATCAATGAACACAATTCCTCAATAAAAAGATCCAGACTAGCAGAATAGTGTGAAAACAGGACCCATCCTTTTGCTCCATACAAGAAACACCCCTAATATTGAAGGTAAACATCACCTCATTATCCCAGAATAAAGCACTGGTCCAAGAATTTCTAAGCAAATGGATATAAGAAGCAGGTTGGTTTTTCCATTCTAATATCTAACAAAATAGACTTCTGTGGTGA